GCGCAGTGGGCACCCGGCTGTGAAGCCGCAAGCTGTCACAGCCGGGTGCCCACACTGAAGATGCTAGCGCTGGGGAGTTAAGACGGCCAGTGAAACCAGCGGTGATGAGGACACCGCTGGACCGAGGGACAGGTAAGTGACTGTATTTTAAAAGTCAGCAGTTACAGTTTTTGTAGCTGCTGACTTTTATTTTTAATTCATCTGCAACTCTGCTTTAATACATTCTCTGCATTAAGGTCGGTGCAGTGCAGCTCCCCCTGCAGCCCCCATGAATACTTACCTGAGCTTGATCGCAATCCAGCTCTGTACACATCTGCAGCAATTCCCCTCCCCTCCCAGCTCTTACAGGCTTGACTGAGAGCGGTGGAAGCCATCGGTTCCTGCTGCTGTCAGTAAAAACCAGTGAGCAGAAAGCGGGAGGTGGGGCTGAGCTGGGCTGTGTGTCTGAATTGACACAAACTGCACGGCTCAGAAGCAAGCTTGCATGAGTGCCTCCATAGGAAGCTGCTTCCTATGGTGGGCACTTAGTGGAGGGAGGAGCCATGGGGACCTGAAAAGAGGAGGATCAGGGCTTCTCTGTGCAATATCATTGCACAGAGCAGGCAAGTATGACATGTTTTGTTATTTTAATAAAAAAAGGGGAAGCTTTACAATCATGTTAATGAAGATGAAATGAATCAATCTCATAATGTGGCCTCATTGCTGTTGTTCAGAACTGCCTTGTTGTGCAAAAGAATTGATAAATGTCCTCTGTAATTCGTTTCCCAAAGCCACCAACCCAATTGCAGCTATTGTATTTGTTTACAAAAAAAGACATCAAATCTGCAGGCCTACTCAGAATGGCAACGCGCCATTAGAAAAGTGCAGGATTTTACAGCAACCAATCACGTTTTCATTCATCACATCCCATTACACAGATGCTTGCTTGTTATGGCATACTGAATTACCAAACATTCATGCCATTTGCACAGCCTGAACAAGCCTGTAGATCTTATTATTTTACCTCCAGTTTTCAATATAGTTATGTACATATCGCTCTGCATCTCCTATTACAGCTCAGTAGTTTAATGAGAAATGTATATTAAAGAACACTGATCTAAATGATAACCTGTACAGAGTGCAATGAACGATCTGTTCAAATCTGTTGAACATAAATACATATCAATTTTTTGTCTGCCAAGCACTGCAACAGTTGATAACATGCAAATTAGAAGCCTTCTGACTCCTGGGAATGATGAGGTGTTTTTACTGCCCTTTCCTATTGTCAAGATGACTGATAACAAGCGAAACACAACAGAGAGCAGGGAAGACAAGGTTTTGTAATACTGTTCTGCATTCTGTTCTTCACAAGGCATATATTACCAAAAAGATATACAGCCATTACGGCTCATTGCTCTACAAAATTCTGAACTGCATAGAATGCACTGGAGGGCTGCTGAAAAGACTCAGAATGTTAGCTTGCAAATGAGGATTCAAGTTCAAGTGGTTCTAAAGGGAGAAGTCTTTTTTTACCTTATTGCAATCACTGCATCAAGGTGAAAAACCTTCTGTGTTCAGCTCCCCCTGTACCCCCCCCCCCCCCCTTATACTTATCTGAGCTTGATTTCAATCCAGCAGTCCAGCCCAGAGAGCAGCTGCGCTCTTGGCTCTCTCTCTCCTTACTGGAGTTCAAGGCAGCAGTGGGAGTCATTGGCTCCTGCTGCTGTCAATCACAGCCACTAAGGAAAGAGCAAGTGGGGCAGGGCAGAGCTGTTCTCTGTGTGTCAATGGACATGGAGTAAGGCTTGGAAGCAGACCCGCAAGAGTGACAATAGCAAATGGTTTGTTATGGGGGCACTCAGAAGGGGGGAGGAGTCAGGAGCACACACAAAGTGGTTTTATATCCTTTGTTACCATTGAGAAATACATTTGAAATAATTTTTTTTTCCAGGCAGACAGCTAAACACTTGATATACATAGATTAGACTACTTGTATTTCAGAGCAATCACTTCCTTATTGGAAACGCTCCCCCTCTCCCTGGTCTCAAAAAATAGATGTCACTTTCTGTAATTAAAATATGTACATTTCCAGCCTTGATTGTAAGTCTTGAATTCGCTAGAGAGGAAGGCTGGACAGAAACTTTACAGAGCTGAAGTTCACAGGTCTGCCCATGAGGTAGAAATGACAGAATATCAGGGAGAAAAGACATTATTCTTGTAAGTTTAACCATTTTGTATCTCCCTGGCAACAGAGTTTGTCTTGTCACCTCTCCTGCATTTCTTTTTTCCCTCCCTAATCTGTGTTTCCTCAACACAGTCTGAGTCATTCCTGCTGCTTTGTTCAGTAATATGTTAAAGCGGTCAGCATTGGCTTCAAGTGGCTCTGATTTTAGCCACAGTGCGAAGAATAGAAAGCAACTGAGCATGTGCAGAGTAGGGTGAGACTGAATTACTGGATTGTAAACAGTATAGGCACTTATTTTAAATTTTTTACATGGCTATACCTGCAAAAGAAGCCAGCATGAAGTGATCTATCAGGACTTAATTTGCTCACTGAAGTTCCACTTTAAAACAGCTGAATGCAAGTTGTTTATCAAGCAAATCTGTTGTGCCATCTCTTTAGATAACACACTGTGCTCTGGTTACCCTATCACAAATGTTTCTTTGTAGAATATAGATTTTTAATAAGTCAATAGTATAACAAAACTAAAACTTGTCCACTCTTCCTCAAATGAAAAGCACCAAGCAGCCCACATAAGACTGGTATACACATCCTCTCTATAAAATGCTATTAATGCTGAATCTGTGCATAGGCTATATAGAATAATTGTGATAGTTTATATATTTTTGAAGGGCTGTTTTAAAAATGTATGTCATTTTCATTATATAAATAAAACGTGGTGCAGTATACAGTTCATAAATGTCCTATAGATACTCTGTAGTAGTGTTAGGAATCAATCATCAAGGGGCCCCTGATGACTGCTTACTAGCCGAAACACACTGGGAGAAGCAAGCAGGCATGATGCTGAATTGGAACTCAAACTTCTGGAGCATATATGCATTTTTTAAATATTTTTATTACAATAAATTGTTTATGGGTTACATTATGGGAGGTCTGTTTTTGTCCCGACATTTACACTTTGATTGGTGCCACTGAACTGAACTTGGTCCCAAATGAGGAAAGATCACCTGCCTAAGAGCCCAACTCTGATGGCTTCCCTGATTATCACTTTACATAAGGGTAGCCCAACCTTGTATTTTGTAGATCTTATTAGTTGGAAAACTGCTCTGTGTACTGTTTGGTGAAGGTGCTGATCACGGTCAGTGGGGAAGATTAAATGTTTTCTAATTCTGTTATGGTGTACCTATGGAATTTTTATGAACTGTGTATTTTTTATTAAAAAAATGTATAATTGTAGCAGAGGAAATTAATCCTATCTGTGACTGCTGTAACCTGCTGACTTGCATCTCCTCTGAAATCTCACCCTTGCACTGGACACACACAAGGCAGTGAGGGATTTCAGTCCCCCCCCCCCTTCTCCTCTCAGACTGTAATAGAGAGAGAGACAATCAGAAGAGCCATTAAAGGAGCCAATAACAGTGATTTTCTCAAGCAGGAGGTGCAGCTGCAAAGCATTGTGGAATATGCAGTCTTGAACAGAAACGGCCTGATAGGCTTTTATAGGAATAGAACTACAAAGGCCATCATGCTTAGTGAGAGCAGAGTGAAGGACTCCATCTTGCTTTTCCTGAGGGGAGGCAGTCTGCATGTGGCAAGGAGGCAGTCTGCATGTGGCAAAGAAGTGCTTATGGTCAGTTCACTGCATGCTTAGTGATCTGCATCAGTCAGGGGAAACTCCAAACAGAGAGGTGGCCTACAGTACAGTGCCTACACCGACAGTGTGAAGCGCTCATCGTGAGGTGACCAGAGGAGCCTGTCATTTCCAGGACGATCGTTTGGGCCTTAGCCACAGGATCTGGTGAGAGGGATTTTTCCCACTGTCAGATGACAGGAACACTGCACACAGACAGAGACATTACACTTCGCCCATACTCACCAGGCACTGGGTTGTATAGATGGCCCTGCTAAACAGACACAGTATTTGCTTTGCTATACAAATACTGCCAAGGTATTACAATTATACTTTACCATAGGAGTTTAAGTGCACCAACGAAAGTGGCTAGCTGAAGATCCCAAGATTCATCCTGTTACCAAGAGACTAAAGTTACTGGTGCCATACAGGCACGTGCATGCGTATTCAGGCCTCTATATTGCATGGTGTGTGAGGGAATAGCTTTACCTTGGAAAGTAGCTATTAAGAATCAGTTGGGTACAGTGTTTGCCTATTAGGCTTGTGGTGTCAGAGGTTAGAAGGGAGACGTCTGACACAACAGAGAGTCATTCTTCTGCTCTCCTTCTGCTTGGACATCAAAGAGCCGAATTTATGTAGAGGAGTTAGACCCACTTTGAGGTTGCCATTTAAGTGTTTCCTCTGCTCTTGGGGTTATTCACGGTTGGAATCCCCTGAAAGCAGCCTGAGTGTAAAATGAGCTACCATATTTTTCGCTCCATAAGACACACTTGACCATAAGACGCGCCCAGGTTTTAGAGGAGAAAAACAAGAAAAAAAATATTCTGAACCAATGGACTGCAGACATAGTACAGGAAGTGACCAGACACTGCGGACACAGTGCAGGAGATGACCAGAGGCTGCGGACACAGTACAGGAAGTGACCAGACACTGCGGACACAGTACAGGGGATGACCAGAGACTGCGGACACAGTGCAGGAGATGACCAGAGGCTGCGGACACAGTACAGGAAGTGACCAGACACTGCGGACACAGTACAGGGGATGACCAGAGACTGCGGACACAGTACAGGAGATGACCAGAGACTGCGGACACAGTACAGGAGATGACCAGAGACTGCGGACACAGTACAGGGGATGACCAGAGACTGCGGACACAGTACAGGAGATGACCAGAGGCTGCGGACACAGTACAGGAAGTGACCAGACATTGCGGACACAGTACAGGAGATGACCAGAGACTGCAGACAGTACAGGAGATGACCAGAGACTGCGGACACAGTACAGGAGATGACCAGAGACTGCGGACACAGTACAGGAGATGACCAGAGACTGCGGACACAGTACAGGAGATGACCAGAGACTGCGGACACAGTACAGGAGATGACCAGAGACTGCAGACATAGTACAGGAGATGATCAGAGACTGCGGACACAGTACAGGAGATGACCAGAGACTGCAGACAGTACAGGAGATGACCAGAGACTGCGGACACAGTACAGGAGATGACCAGAGACTGTGGACACAGTACAGGAGATGACCAGAGACTGCAGACAGTACAGATGACCAGAGACTGCAGACAGCACAGGGGATGACCAGAGACTGCAGACAGTACAGGGCATGACCAGACACTGCGGACCTTTAGAGATGGAGGGGGAGCAGGTACCTGTATTTGACAGGTACCCGCTCCCACTTCCGCGGAGTTCTCTTTCCTATACTGTGGACACCTGACTTTGACAGCCGGGTGCCCACTGCGCATGCACGAGAAGTGCTGCGCTTTGTGAATGGCCCGGCGTCTTTTGGGACCTGGCATGTGCTTCTCGTGCATGCGCAGTGGGCACCCGGCTGTCACAGATGCCGGGGCGGGAAGAAGCCGGCGCGGGAAAACTATAGCGCTGGACCGAGGAACAGGTGAGTTCCTGCCGCAGAGAACAGCTGAGGGGTCGGCCCGGTATTCTGACATGGTGGCGGCGGAAATACCGGACCAGCCGCTTTATATTCGCTCCATAAGACGCACTGACATTTTCCCCCCTTTTTTGGGCTTATGGAGCAAAAAATACGGTATATTGCTTTCGGTCTCAGTATTTGCTGTTCTCTTGATTCACCTATCATATACCTGTTGTTACTGTTTATTACTTTCCATAGAGGTCTTACAGTAAAGCTGATCTCTGTGTTTTATTACAAAGTGTGTTCTTTTCATTGGTCCTTGCACTTACACTATTGCCAGGTGTGTCAGTTGGGGCTGAGACAGTTCTTGGGGTTGAGAGGCAGAGTGGCGGAGTGAACAAACTTAAGCAGCCCCTTCGTGGGTATCGCTACATAATGCTAATGGAAAAAACGGTTTAAAAACAGTCCTGCATAAACATATAAAGTCTATCATGGTTATTTTATATAGCCCATGTTCAGATTTAGCATTAATAGCACTTTAAACAGACAATTCATAACTAAAGAAAAGCATTTCTAATTAAAGTAAAATAAATTATTTTAAGTTTGCAATGTTTTTCTAAACTAGCAATCAAATATAATGTTGCCCACACTTGTACGTGTCAATTATAAATTCTATCCATATTCTACAGAAATAATTCACTATAAAATGTGATTCATTTATCTCTGATACTGTTGTGCTCGGCTGCTAATTATTCAGCATTTATCATCTAGCCATGAGATTGAATTACAGAGTACCCTAATGTGATCTAAAGTTGGAATTTGTGTTGAATCCCATTTGTCTCAACATTAGTTTGCAGTACAACTAGAATGCAAATAGTCAACTTAATCAAAAAACTACTTTAAAAAAACAAGCAAAACCAATATAGAAAAATAAAACAAAATGTCAAGTGAAAGTAAATCTGCAAACATCTCCAGCTACATTCACATTTCTGTATTTTAAAATGTGGTGTTAAATAATCCTACTTGTGCATGTTTAGTGCAGTTCCCAATGAAACAAATTATCCATGGGAATGAATGGTAAAAAAAATTGCATTACATGATACATGGAAAGGTGTAAATGTAGCCTAAAGGACAAATCCACTCAGTTTATCAGTTTTGGATGGATACCCAACATGTCAACTTCGTTTCTCCAGACCATTACTAATTTTGAGGGTATAATTGTGCATTCCTGATGGCTCTTCTATGATGATGAATAAGCAAATTGATTGGGAATTCATGTGTGAGAATGATGCCTTGGTCATGACCTTGTGAAGAAAGGTTGGAATCACAGGCTACAACACCTCAAAAGGAGTGTCTCTAAAACAGTGGTTCTCAACCTTTCTAATGCCGCGACCCCTTAATACAGTTCCTCATGTTGTGGTGACCCCCAACCATAAAATTATTTTCATTGCTACTTCATAACTGTAATTTTGCAGTGGGAGGAGTAGTGCCATGTCATTGGTGTCAGTGGAAGGAGTAGTGCCCCATCACTGATGTCAGTGGGATGAATAGTGCCCCATTGTTGGTATCAGTGGGAGGAATAGTGCCCCATTGTTGGTATCAGTGGGAGGAATAGTGCCCCATCACTGATGTCAGTGGGATGAATAGTGCCCCATCATTGGTATCAGTGGGAGGAATAGTGCCCCATCGTTGGTATCAGTGGGAGGAATAGTGCCCAATCACTGATGTCAGTGGGATGAATAGTGCCCCATCACTGGTGTCAGTGGGAGGAATAGTGCCCCATCACTGGTGTCAGTGGGAGGAATAGTGCCCCATCACTGATGTCAGTGGGATGCATAGTGCCCCACCGTTGGTATCAGTGGGAGGAATAGTGCCCCATCACTGGTGTCAGTGGGAGGAATAGTGCCCCATCACTGGTGTCAGTGGGAGGAATAGTGCCCCATCGTTGGTGTCAGTGGGAGGAATAGTGCCCCATCGTTGGTGTCAGTGGGAGGAATAGTGCCCCATCGTTGGTGTCAGTGGGAGGAATAGTGCCCCATCGTTGGTGTCAGTGGGAGGAATAGTGCCCCATCGTTGGTGTCAGTGGGAGGAATAGTGCCCCATCGTTGGTGTCAGTGGGAGGAATAGTGCCCCATCGTTGGTGTCAGTGGGAGGAATAGTGCCCCATCGTTGGTATCAGTGGGAGGAATAGTGCCCCATCGTTGGTATCAGTGGGAGGAATAGTGCCCCATCGTTGGTGTCAGTGGGAGGAATAGTGCCCCATCGTTGGAGTCAGTGGGAGGAATAGTGCCCCATCATTGGTGTCAGTGGGAGGAGTAGTGCCCCATCATTGGTGTCAGTGGGGGGAGTAGTGCCCCATCATTGGTGTCAGTGGGGGGAGTAGTGTTTCCATCACTGGTGTCAGTGGGAGGAGTAGTGCTCCATCACTGGTGTCAGTGGGAGGAATAGTGCCACATCATTGGTGTCAGTGGGAGGAATAGTGCCACATCATTGGTGTCAGTGGGGGAAGTAGTGCCCCATCATTGGTGTCAGTGGGGGGAGTAGTGCCCCATCATTGGTGTCAGTGGGGGGAGTAGTGCCCCATCATTGGTGTCAGTGGGAGGAATAGTGCCCCATCACTGGTGTCAGTGGGGGGAGTAGTGCCCCATCACTGGTGTCAGTGGGAGTAGTGCCCCATCACTGGTGTCAGTGGGAGGAATAGTGCCACATCATTGGTGTCAGTGGGAGGAATAGTGCCCCATCATTGGTGTCAGTGGGAGGAATAGTGCCCCATCATTGGTGTCAGTGGGAGGAATAGTGCCCCATCATTGATGTCAGTGTGGTGGAGGGGAGAATAGTGCCCCATCATTGGGGTCAGGGGGGGGGGGGAAAATAGTGCCCCATCGTTGGTGTCAGTGGGGGGAGGAATAGTGCCCCATCGTTGGTGTCAGTGGGGGGAGGAATAGTGCCCCATCGTTGGTGTCAGTGGGGGGAGGAATACTGCCCCATCGTTGGTGTCAGTGGGGGAGGAATACTGCCCCATCGTTGGTGTCAGTGGGGGGAGGAATAGTGCCCCATCGTTGGTGTCAGTGGGGGGAGGAATAGTGCCCCATCGTTGGTGTCAGTGGGGGGAGGAATAGTGCCCCATCGTTGGTGTCAGTGGGGGGAGGAATAGTGCCCCATCGTTGGTGTCAGTGGGGGGAGGAATAGTGCCACATCGTTGGTGTCAGTGTGGGGGGAGGAATAGTGCCACATCGTTGGTGTCAGTGGGGGGAGGAATAGTGCCCCATCGTTGGTGTCAGTGGGGGGAGGAATAGTGCCCCATCGTTGGTGTCAGTGGGGGGAGGAATAGTGCCCCATCGTTGGTGTCAGTGGGGGAGGAATAGTGCCCCATCGTTGGTATTAGTGACACAAATGATGGGGCACTATTCCTCCCACTGACACCAATGATACTTACTTTTGCTGACCCCTGCTCCAGCCTGGGCTCGCTCTCTCACTTACCTGTCAGCTGTCTTCCTTCTCTGGCCGCTCTACTCTTCACTCGCTCCGGCAGCTCCCTCGGTCTTCTTTGATGTACGCGCGCTGCCGCTCGGCTCCTCCTCTCCAAGCTCCACCTCCTCGCCGGTGATTGGCCGCCTGTGTGCCTCTCCTGAGCTACAGTTCCGGTGGCCAATCAGCGGCGAGGAGGCGGAGCTGCTGAGCGATCCCGGAGGTGTGGCCAGGTGACAGGAGCAGCGTATCATCCCGCCCACACATCGCCGGAGACAGCAGCGGTGTCTCGGTTCCTAAGACCATCGGAAATATGTGTTTTCCATGGTCTTAGGCGACCCCTGGGAAATGGTCGTTCGACCCCCAAAGGGGTCGCGACCCCCAGGTTGAGAACCGCTGCTCTAAAAGTTAAATAAGTTGGAGACTCATTACTCATGTCCACCTAAAATGACGTTATCAATACTGGGAGAGTTGGCTTCTTAATCAGCACAGATTAAGGGCTCATGTACACTGCAGCTGATAAACTTACGTTTAGGAGATGTTCAGCGGCTTTTTCAGCAGCCCCTGAACTCACTGTAATATTTTCCTATGTGTCCATGTACACATCTTTGTTTACAGTCGTTTAAAGGTATTTGAGTTTACAGTCGTTTTTTTGAACGCAGAAAACTTGCATTCAGCAGTCGATTTTATCAGGATTTCAAATGCAAAACGCTTGTAAATGCGGAAAATCGCGGTTATAAGCATTTGCGTCTGAAATTTTTTTTTTTTAACTCTTCCAGTTCCTGATGCTGTCCAGAGCCTTTTTTCATCATGAAAAATGCATACAAAGTGTTTGCAAGGTACTCAGATGGACAAAACACTGAAAACAGGATGTTCCTACCAAACTTGTCACAGATTGTAAGGACCAATTCACACCTCAGACCTCTCCCACCCTTGGAAACAAAAGATATGATAATGACCATTCACACCTCAAATTCCTCATGAAGACCCCATGCCAGGTGACCTTAATGACTCACTTCACCAGACACCTTTCCCACCCTTGGAAACAAAAGAAATGTTAATGAGCAACTCACACCTAAGCTAATTTCAACACATACTGCTGTCTCTGCTTCTACTCTCTGTATTTCTCTGAAACAGTCTGAAATACAGTTGCAAGAAAAAGTATGTGAACCCCTTGGGATTACGTGGAGTTTTGCATGAATTGGGCATAAAATGTGCTCTGAACATCATCTAAGTCACAACAATAGAAGAACACAGTCTGCTGAACATAATACTACACAAACATTAGATGTTGCCATGGTTTAATTGCACATAACATGTAAACATTCACAGTGCAGGGAGGAAAAAGTATGTGAACCTTTGGACTTAATAACTGGTTGACCCTCCTTTGGCAGCGATAACCTCAACTAAACGTTTCCTGTAGTTGCAGATCAGACCTGCACAACAATCTGGAGTAATTTTGGACCACTCCTCTTCACAAAACTGTTTCAGTGTAGCATTATTCTTGGGATGTCTGGTGTGAATCGCTCTCTTAAGGTCATGCCACAGCATTTCAATCGGGTTGAGGTCAGGATTCTGACTGAGCCACTCCAGAAGGCGTATTCTGTGCTGTTGCAGCCATTGTTTTGTTGAATTACTTGTATGCTTTGGGCCATTGTCCTGTTGCATCACCCATCCTCTGCGGAGCTTCAGTTGGCGGACAGATGGTCGTACGTTTTCCTGCAAAATGTCTTGATAAACTCTGGAATTCATTTTCCCATCAATAACAATCCGTCCAGGCCCTGAGGCAGCAAAGCAGGCCCAAACCATGATGGTCCCTCCGCCATGTTTTACAGTGGGGATGAGGTTTTGATGTTTGTGTGCTGTGCCTTTTTTTCTCCACACATAGTGTTGTGTGTTCTTCCCAAACAACTCAATCTTGGTTTCATCTGTCCACAGTATATTTTGCCAGTAGTGCTGTGGAACATCCAGGTGCTCTTTTGCAAACTTCAAACGTGCTGCAATATTCTTTTTGGACAGCAATGGCTTCCTCCGTGGTGTCCTCCCATGTACTCCATTCTTGTTTAATGTTTTCCTTATTGTAGATGTGTCAACAAAAATGTTAGCATGTGCCAGAGATTTATGTAGGTCTTTAGCTGACACTCTGGGATTCTTCTTTACCTCATGCAGCATTCTGCGCTGTGCTTTTGCAGTAATTTTTACAGGACGATCACGCCTAGAGAGAGTAGCAACAGTGCTAAACTTTCTCCATTTGTAGACAGTCTGTCTTACCGTGGACACATGAACATCAAGGCTTTTGGAGATACGTTTGTAACCCTTTCCAGCTTCATGCAAGTCAACAATTCTTGATCGTAGGTCTTCTGAGAGCTCTTTTCTGCGAGGCATGGTTCACATCAGACAGTGCTTCTTGAAACCAGTAAACCCAAAACAGGTGTGTGTTTTTTAAGGGCAGGACAGCTGTCAGCAACACATCCAATATCATCACACTGATTGGAGTCAAGGTTGGCTCACTCCTGGCTCTGGGAGAAGTCATTAAGCTAGGGCCTCACATACTTTTTCCTCCCTGCACTGTGAATGTTTACATGTTATGTGCAATTAAACCATGGCAACATCTAATGTTTGTGTAGTATTATGTTCAGCAGACTGTGTTCTTTTATTGTTGTGACTTAGATGACGTTCAGAGCACATTTTATGCCCAATTCATGCAAAACTCCACGTAATCCCAAGGGGTTCACATACTTTTTCTTGCAACTGTAGTTAACAATTTACCACTTTTCAGTGCATTCTGGGCATTTGGGAGGTTCTCCTGTGCTTATCTTTGAAAAAACGCTAAACGCACATAAACGCTCATAAACACGTTATGCAAACGCAGCTAAACCGACGTTTTTTAACCTGCGTTTTCCAGTTTCCATCATTCAGAAGTGTCCTGTGTACATGGGCCTAAAGGTTTCAGGTTTCACTGGGCAAAGCATGGTGTGGTCACTCTGCATTCTTACATGTCATTAGCAGGTGACTGTACTGTCACCAAATGTGTAATTCTGGACCCAGACTCCTCAGACTGTAAGACTCTCATGCTTCTACATAGAAGGGTCACAATAGGAAGGAAGAAAAAGAAAGAACACCCCCCCCCCCCCAAAAAAAAAAATTGTGCCATCACTTTTCTACTCTTCTGTATGAAAGCTTATATAGGAATTTAGTCATTTGGTTTACATCCAATCTAATATTTGCCAGCAAAACAGATCCATTTTAAAAGCAATATACGTGCTATGTTTCTAATTGTTAATAGTGTAAAAAGAGCTTTGTCTTTGCTGTCACAGTTTGAGAATATGATACTCACTCTTGTACTGCGCGTGCTATGGAAAGAGCTGTAGACCCAGTTTCATTGACACTATCTAAAGTCACATTTGGCAGGTCATCATCATCACTATCACTTTTTATCTGTCTAGGAGACAGTCCCCGGGGATCCATATGTGCTGGGGAGAGAAAAAAAAATTCCATTATAGATGAACTGTACAGTAAAAAATAACTACAATTGTCACTTTACATTATCTAGTATGTATCACCATGTGCCACAGTTGCATTGCAGCAGAGTCATTGTCTTATAAATATAGCCACTGCTAGTAGAAACGCCTTCAAATTTCTTTTTCATGTAGAAAACATTACTCAAAGATCAAAATATTGCTTAAAATATATTTGGTCCTGATCATTTCCTGCATGAATATATTAAAAATACCAAAATATTTATAAGTGTGCAAGCTTGCATTTGAAAGATTTAGATGTATGTTTATTAAAGCAGTACAATTAAAAAAAATTTGGACCCCTGGGCGGTTTAAGTCATAATGTGCTAGTATGCCGTTTGAATGGCCAGACCACAATGACATCACTCCCATGCATGCACACAGCAGTCACAGTTACGGAACAGCGCTCTCAATATACAGCATACTCCAGTGAGCCATTCATTGAGAGTGAAATGCGCATGAGCCAGCGACGTCACCGGTTGCTGCAAAAGCGGAGTTTACTACTGCTTTCAACAATGATATTTTTCACTCCTTAGAAATTGTGGTCCTTCAAAGCTGGTTTAACGCTTCACTTCTCTTCTCTGATTGAGCAGAGAAGTCAGTGAAATACATGGTGAATGGCCAGGATGTGTAATGTAAGTGAGATTTAAGCCCATGATCTTGCGAGATCAGGGGCTCAAATACTCAAAATAACAGTTAAAAAAAAAAAAAATAAAAAATGATCCGTTTAGTCCTATATAGGCCGCCTTCTTACCCAGATCGGTCATTTCAGAGCTGGTAGTATAACAAGAGAGGCAAACCAATTGGGATACTGAATGCTGTTGAGAGGCCTTATTATGTTATTGTTGTACAAGCTCACTACAATTTCTATATGTAGTCATCTCTACTATGTAAACATGGTCACGTTACTTTAACATTGTATTTCTCTTGCTGTGATCTCAATAAATGCTTCATGGAAAATAAATAAATAAAACGAAAAGTGAATCAAAATCCGTTGAGGGACCATTCATGAATAATTGTGTTTTTATTTATATGAAGCCATTTCTGTGATACTTGTTTCTGACTGTATTTATATAGCCATAAATACACTAGACTACAAGTGTCACTGAAATATCCTGATATACAGTATATAAAAACACAAATATTTATTAATGGTCCATCTCAAATTTATGTGTATCCAGGTGTATGAATGGTAGTGTTAGCAGGGAGAGAAGAGGGAAATGGCTGCGATGTGAGGGAGAACCAGGCAGATTGTCCCCTGCTTCCTCTGTCACTGTTCGACAGCCCCTGTAATATATGACCCGCTCTAACTTTTACAGTGGAATCAGGGAATATACTCCCCTTGGTTTCTCCTCACATAACAGCTGGTGGAGAATCATGAAATGAGAAACCGGCCACTGAAGTACAATGGGAAATGGAGAATGTCAACTCCACTCCTCATCGCAGCTTCATAAACCACTGCGCAGTGGAAATAAGCTACGATAGTCAGTTGATCTCAGTTTAAAAAAAATACATCTTATTATTGCAATATTCTGAGCTTTGCCTATGTCTTAGCCTAACTCTCTTGAGCTTATATGAATCAGAGGTAACAGATGACTTTAGATATGACATTTACTGCTCTGTCGACTGCCTGATGTCATGTTAATAACAAGTTAAAGGGCAGCACCTGTCTGACCTCAGGTAAACACTAAATCCTTACTCAAGCGTCAGTCTTACATCCCGGTCACATCAAGCCAGACTTTGAAATCGTGCGACTGACAGTGAAGTCGCATGATATTAAAGTCGGGGGACATGCTGATTTCAGGTGCAATTGCAAGACATCTGACACAGATGTCTATGCAAACCGCACCAAAAGTAGTGCATGTACTACTTTATGACCGCTGTAATTGTGGACAATAGGGTGCGACTTGACATGCGATTTGCAAGTCGCATGGCACGCAAATGGAATGCCAAGTCGCACCCAGTGCGACCAGGGTCTTCAATAGAGGGGTAAATATAAACCATTCATAGCTTAGCAGGCACAACTAAAATTATTTTGATTTTTGGATTAGTACGATTATGTCTGATTTTCTTTCAAAAGAAAATTAAGTAAAAAATATAATATTCACTTAAATTGTATCTGAATTCAAGAACAAAGAAGAAAGACTACTCCACAATTTCAATAAAATCCCAGGATCACAAAGACCTGGGCTGTGTCCCAGAGCTGAGAGGTAAAGTGATCATTCCAGTCTCTGGATCCAGACTTCACAGTGCAGGCAGAGGCATAGGAGGCAGAACAGAACACAGGTAGGTATACTGTGCACTGCCTCCCCCTGACCACCAATGACTGGTAAGGGAAGGAGAGGAATCTTTCATGGACAACTAATGTTTGGCAAATAGGGCAGTTTATTTCTCTGGCTACTTATGCCTGGGAAGGGGGAAATTCCGCTGACCACAAGCTCCAAGGGGAAGAGGGATTCCTCCATCTCCTTACATCAATGCAATGAGTAGGGGTTATTCCTCCCACTAAAACCAATCTCTGGAGAGGGATTCTTCCTCTCACTGGCACTGATTATCAAAATATCCTACAATTTTAATTATCAAAAGGCCAATTCTAAGATAATTCAGAAATAGACATTTTTAAATTGTTGCAAGTTTGTACATTAACCTTCTTATTCTGTTAAAGTTACGGGTAAAATTTTTCTGAACTCATCAGTTGCAAAATTATAGATGTATGGTCCTAGTTAACTACATCACAATTTGATCCTCATAAAAAATAAAAGTTTGAAATGGCTACAATGAAATGGTACAAAGGCCACATATGACCTAAAAAAGGGAGGGAAGGACAGTCTATCCAGGGCTCAGTCCAATAAGCTGGTTAGCTTAGAGATACAGACTCTGAAAAGAGTTGGGTATCATATGCTGGCTAGATTGTGAGCTAAAGATCCATGAATCACACAACTCTATTTTGTTTTAAGCTTTATATTGGCTCCAGGTGGATCAAATCTTGGCTGGTTCAGCAGGGACTGGACAAGAATCAATTCATCTATGAGCAGACTGGTTGTACTGAAGTCAAACCATCGATCAACTTTAGTACAACCAGCCTGTAGGATTTTTTCATTTAATCACTGCTGGTGGCTATAGCCACCTACAGTGATTATTGTGTTCTACTGGCAGGGAAGGCTCCCCACCAGCAGAACATAATAGCTCTGTGGGAAAGATTCCCCCATCAACACTGACTGTGTAGATTGGGGAATCAAGCAATTTTCTTTCCTTCCACTCATTATGACTAAAACCAAATTTGGCCCATGTATTTTCGACAAGATCCTTGCAGAAACTAAATGAAAGACTGGCTTGTTTTATCTTAGTAGACTGATGAAATATAAACTGTGAAGACTTTTCCAACAATATTTTTAAGAACTTGTCTGTAAGACTGTCAAGCACTCACACTTGAAGAGTTCAGATCATGCAACCATTGCATCATTCATATGTGTACTGTTTTTGCCACTATAGTGACCACCTAACCAAAAAGCACCCAGGTCTGATCAATGACATTCTTATATCAAAGAGAAATGATGATGTACAATGTGTAACAACCTGGAGCAACCAATTTTCACTTTACTGAGGTCATATTATTAAGAGATGATTTCTAATTGATTGCCAAGAGTTCTTCCACTTTGCACAATAATATTGCTCTGCCACACAGTCCTATTTAATAAACTTTAAAGTGCTTCTAAAGGGTCAAGGGTTTTTACCTTCATGCATTCTATGCAGAAGGTAAAAAGCCTTCTGTTTGTAGAAGCCCCCCCAGCCCCCCAACACCATATCTGAGCTCCAAACTGCTCTAGCGATGTCCACAAGAGCTTCGGTTCTCAAGGGATTCTCACTCTGAATCAGCAGCATAGGCTCCTGCTGCTGTCAATCACAGTCAGTGAGCCAATCAGGAGATGGAGGGGGTGGGGCCAAGACAAAGGTCTGCTTGTGACTGGACATGCCATAGCAAGTTTCTTGCTGTGGGGGCACCTGGCAGGAGGGAGGGGCCAGGAGCACTGGCGTGGGACCCTAGAAGAGGAGGATTCGAGCTGCTCTGTGCAAAACCACTGCACACAGCAGGAAAGTATGACATGTTTGTTATTTAAAGAAAAACAAACAAAAAAAGACTTTTGTATCACTTTAAATGGTTACATCCTGAACCCACCGTACACTTTTTTTTCTAATTGTGCATTAAATAAGAGAGAGGAAATACACAGTAGTTTTTCCTTGTAGATGTGTTTAACTTTCTGCTTGGCTTAAATGCAAATCTTGGCTTGTTAGACATAATCCAAGCGGGCATTTTACATTAAATATTCAGTGACCTACTACAATCTAATGGAGTGTGTTTATGTATGATTTTACAGAGTTGCAGGTTTTACAGAATAATTTTATATAATTCCACTTAGAGGATAGTGTATAAGTTTAAATATGTAAAATCATCAAGTCCTGCTGTGTAATTATTTGAATTTTAATGAGAGCGAAGTTGAAAATGTTATTAAAAAATTGCCAAAAAAACTTAAATGTGAGATCAAAGGTTTGAATTAGTCAATAAGCTTGATATCATTTCTTGTTATAGAGGACGATTTTCAGAGTTCCCATCTCCCTAACAGCTGGGGGATCATCAAATAGATAGGAAAATCAAAGAAAGTGAATAAGCAGTTAGATAAAGAATGGCTGCTAAAAGTCTGACACTCTGGCATTTTGGGACTGCAGTCATGGGTTTGGCTCAATTGAGGTTTTTATTCTCTTCTTTGTGTAGCTTCTCTTGACTAAGGTATTGCTATGTATTACGGATGTGCAGACTTTACTACACCCCCCCACCCATCCAAATTTTTGGGGGTTGAAAAGGCCATAGCCGCCGCTTATTAAATAAAAACATGCAAACTTACAAAACACAACCTTTTATCAAAACATTTTCATTATGAAAATTATTACAATCATCC